AATGAAAATAATCACTAAATGATTTGCTTAAGTCTCCCATAGATTGCCATACAACATTAAAAAGAATACGCAATTATCTAAAATGAAATTAATGCCTTAAACATGATACCTATATATTTTCTTAATAGCCTTAACTTGATAAACTAACAAAACAAATCATGATTATCCGTATTAAGAGTTGGAACAGAGGGATGTTAATCATTTCATAATTACATACGAATTCATTATAACTAGTTTAAACAACTCTTGCAAATTTTAAGTATGAAGAAATGTACCAACACTTGAGAATTTCAAAAAAATTAAAATGCAAGACATAGGTTTCAAGAAATTACCTAAGCTTGAGGTGACTCAAGTATAAAGATCATGAACTTCTACTCCAAAAAAAATGCTAACTAATAGTAAAGCTACTAAGCTTTGAGAAATTTTTTTTTTAAAAAAATAAAAATAAAATAGTGCAAGACATGCTCTCATGAAAGTGAAATATTTATCATTTAAACAAAACATGATTCACAATTTTTCAGCACTTGCATATCTATTCTAGCAGCAAGGCACAGTTAAGCACTTTCAAACTTTTATCGTAACTATCATTTCGAAATTTCGAAAAGTTAAATGAAGATAGAGACATGCTACGAATTTAGGAAAAACTTAAACAAGAAGCAAAAATCACGGCGTAGAGCAACACGTAGCTATGGATCTAAAAAAAGCTATGGCAGGGACTAAGTAACATATCAACATGACAACTGATTTGTGGGATTTTTAGAATAAAAGGTAATTCAAATACAACAATAAGATCAAATCGAGTTGTTGCACTCAGAAAACAATGAGATAATTCCATATACAGCTAACATATTGGTTAATTTTTTAGACTCCTACACCTATTTCAAATGATTCCAACAATGACAAGCGAAATGAACCGAATGACTTCGAGTCGAGCAACCCAAACATGATAATGAAGAGCAAAACCCAGCTAGGCTAAAAAGTTGTGAAGGATTAGATTGTGGAACTCAAATCGACCAACCAAAGTGTAGAGAACATGACAATTGAAACCAAACTATCGAGAAGATAGACAATTAAAGCAAACCTTAGCAACTGTGTAGATGTAAAACAAAAAGATTTAGCGAAGCTTAACTTGTCACTGCAACATGAGTAAGTTACATCTCTCTAAACAAATCAACAACCAGGGGCGTCGTCATTGAGGTGCTAGAACCAACAAATATAATACTATTGTTCAATATATTTCATAATAACAACAAACATTTAGTATCCATAACTGATAGAGGACTAATAAAATTCATTCAAGATAACCACTCAAGACAGAGACGATATCATAACGGGACATATTAGATCATATATTTTAGAAAAAAAAGATATATATTAACAAAACCTCAATCAAAATACCTTTAAGATGTGAGAAATTATGTGGAAATCAACCAATAATCTACTGTTGGAAAAATAAAACATCCAACAACTGCATCCTTATTTAAAATTTAAGATTTTGAATCTAAGAAAAAGAAAGAAAAGAAAGGACTAATAGAACCAATCTTAAGACAATAAATTGCAGAGAAAATTTTCAAACATATACAGATGAAGCTTGAAATTTTGTAAAGACAAAACTGAAAGAGGAAGGGTTTACCTGTTTCGGAGCAGTGAACCAAGACTACGAGCTAAGATGGGCAGCGGTTCTTCCACCGAAACGCGATTCGAAGAAACTCGAACGAACAAGACAAAACGAGCAAGAGCCAAGACTGATCCAAACAACTTCAAAGATTTTTTGTTTAGATATAATTCTTCCTCTCAACACTTAGCTAACTCTTAATATCTCCCCCTTCTACAATGGAAGAGAGAGATGTATATATAGGGGGAATTAGGGTGAAAAACGGATAGGAGCAAGGGTCAAAAACGGAATTCTCCCTCGATTTGAAAATTTTTTCCTCCAAGAATGGGAAAGGTTGTTGCTTGTACAAGATTTCAACTAAAATCCCCTAAAATCCGGATGATGAGATCAAGGTGGATGGCTTGACAGGCAGCTATGGCAGGTGAAAGGCTGTTTGAACTGCTCTGGCCGAGGAGGAAGACGCGGAAAGCTGCTGCTTTGACGTTGAAATTAGAAGGAGAGGCCGGGTCGGGTGTTGTTGGTTTGCTGAAAATTCTGGGTCGATTTCTGGATTTGCAACGCTTAAGGAGAAGAAGAACGTGTACAGTAGTGCGGGTAAAAAAAAAAGGGAATTAAAGAGTGGGTTAGGAGAATTTTGGAAAGTGTTGGAATGTAGCATATTGTATTGTATGGGTCGGCTGGAATTGGGAGTTGGGCTTGGAAAATTGGATTGGAAATGACCCAAAATTGGACTATTGAATTGGGTAAGCAATTGACTAAAAATCGTAATTAAATAATAGTCAAATGGATTTCAATTATAACCGAATATAATTTAATTGGTGAATTCGGCTAGTTTAAGTGATAAACATATTGAGTTTAATTTACATGAATTAATATTAATTAATTAACGAGTTTTTTAATCTTAACGAAATATAATAATTATTTCTATTATAAAATATAATTAGTTTAATTAAAAACTAATTAACTCGAAACTATAACTTAAAGTCATAAAATATTTAACTAAAATGTAGAATCTTTGTGATGATTTTCAAATATTTATAAAATAACGTGATTGTAAAAAATATACATATTTATTATTTAAAATTATTAAAATGATAATGTTACTCTAAAAATAACTTGAAAGTATTTTGAATTTCATAAAAACTATTAATTCAAAATTATGACCTTTGCTAATAAAGTATTAGAAAATATAAAATCTTTTTGAGATGATTTTTGAGTACTCATAAAATGCATTAATTATATACATAACTATATAAAACATATATATATATTAAAGAAGTGACAAAACTATTTAAAATAACTTGCAAACTATGTTTATTTTATTTTATTTCTATTTTTTTTATAAAACTAATTATTTTAAATCGTTAGAAATTGAAGAAGCTCAATGATTAATTTATATTGTGGAGGGGCAAGGTGTCAACAACTGTCCCTCGTTTTACTTGGATTGATGCAAGAAATTCGAGACAAATGAAATTGACGAATCCAATTTTGACCAACTACATCTTCATATTTAGGAAAGAGATTTTTGTATAGATTTTAGGAATTGTGGCCGAACCTTGGTATCAGGCTTTCTACATATCTCAGGCTATATGAGAATTCAGGTCACTTGTAGTTCAATAAGCTTGATTTGATGCACGATTGTGAAAGAATTCAAATGGTATCCCGATATCAAATTATGAATAGACCGAAATGCTTGAGAATAAGATTTGAGAGAGGATGTGGAAATACAACCGAGTTTTCAATATTGA